TCTTTATTATATAATTAAATATAGAAACGTATAGGCAGAAATCGTTAGGTTTGATTTTTTTATTTTATATGAATTATATTCGTTGCTCTTTCCTGATTACCCCTTATATTCTTTTAAATTTGTTAAAACATTTATTCATTGCTTTGAACACATCATGTTTTATGTGTTAAAGGAGATAAGAATACTAGTTTTCCTCTCGACTGACCTTGTGTCTACTGATGGTTATTATTAGGTTTCACTATTTGTATCATCATTTTGTATTATTATATCTTATTCATGAGTTATTATCACAGTTTACAAGGAAGATGTTCAGTATTTAAAAACTTCCATGCACAATAGGTACGTAGTTGCATGTTATAAATTAATGATTTTATTGATAATAGAAACGTGTATTTTAGCCGTACGAATTATAAGTAGGTAAAACTTTAAACTTCTGTATTTAATTTAACAATTATGAATAAAACGCGGTTTTTATGAACATACATACCCACGTACAATGAAACAAAAATTTTATTGACTAAAGCATTCTGAATTCTTCGAACTCCCTTTATCTTTTTATTCGACTAACAATTATTTTTTTGCCAATATATTTTGAAAATATAGGTGCAGGTTTTCCTTTATTTTGAATAAAATATTACCTACACCAAATTCATATTTTTTTGAAATGATTTTGAACGATTTATCGATAATATAATAATTTTTTCTTTGCAGTTTCATTAAAAAAAAGACACATGGATTAAAATTCGTGTGTAACAATGTATGAGATATCTAAGTGAAGCAATCCTACTCTTTCTACAACATGCTATGAGATACCAGCCTGAGAGAGAAAAGAAAAACATCGCAAAACTTTTTAAGGATGTTTTGCACAACTAAAATTAAAATTTTTACTTCGACATGATTACTAAATTTATGGGACTAAAATAGTAGGTATTACATATTGTAAAAAACATTAAAAAATTGCAAATTGTACTGCGCCAGATGAGTTTTTCGAATTAGTTTATGTTTATTATAATTTCATATTAATGTATTAGTGAATTAATTTTACCCACTTAAAAGTAATTCACTAATATATTGAATTAACCCTCCAAAAATTAAAAAAAGTGTTTTATATACACTATTTTATTTTTTAAAATCTCATTTATTTTAAGTTATTAATTACTCTTTCTTGCCCATCTACAGATAGTTTCACAAATGAGAGGAACTGTAGATAGTTTTAATGCTACTGAAACAACCGATGCTTTTCACGTCTTCACATTGTAACATTATGCAGTTAATTTTGGACCTGAGAAGGGGAGGCAAATGGAGATTCATTTTGGAAATCACTAAAAAAATCAATTGTCTTTCAATTGGTTTCTCTCCTTGTCTTCATTTGCTTATCACACTTGCTATGCTCTGCAGTTATTTAAGGTGAGAATACATGATATAATTAATATTAATTGCTCGTTATTAATCTGTTACCACCCTATCTGTTTCAGATCGACGGTGGAGAAGACAAAGAAGATCCCGTAGTTTCTTTATCTTGCATGCTCTATTAGAATTAAATACTTATTTTGCATGCTTAGTTTATTTTATTCGAATAAATTTTTTATTGCATGGTTTTTGTAGTTTATTTTATTTGAATTAATTTTTATTTTGCATGCTTATTTTAGTTTATTTTATTTGAATTAATTTTTATTTTGCATGCTGATTTCAGTTTATTTTATTTGAATTAATTTTTAATTGTAGATGTTGTTATTGTTTTTGGTTGTAGTCGTTATTACTGTACTAACACGTTTAGTTTTTTGGTAGTACTAGTCTAACATGTCTCTTGCTTACCTCTTCGCTTAGCTTACTGCATATTCTTCCTAATTTGCTTTGCATTTACCCTACGAGTTCTACATGATTCAACGTTTCGTTATCGTGTGTGTTTCTTCTCACCCTTGTGGAATTAGGGAGGGCCTCCCCGAACGACTTCCCTTGGGCTTAGCTATTTAGTTGATCTTAAAAGTGTCTTATACACTTTTCGCGAGTCTACTCTAGCGTTACTTCCTTTCAGACAGGGTACAGTGGGTTATCTGGAATAGGAGCAATAGGCGACTGCCCAGCTTGCCTTGACGAAATCTGTCCGATCTTTTCTACCAAAGCTATTAGTATTTGCCGTTAGTCCTGTTAATTGCACTATTTGCTTTCAGATAATGAGGTAAACCTTAAGAAGAATGAAGAAATCGCATTTTTTGCTTTTTATTGTATTTTACTTGAGATTTCATTTGTTTCTTTGTCTTTCTCTTACAGATATTTTGTTTTTTTACTGCATAAAATCGTATTACATTGATTGTACTTACGCTGATGGTTAAAATTTTTACATTGATCTTTTTGAGTAATTTCCTTAATTGCAATCGAATTTTGTTAGCAGTTTCAATAACTAGGAGTAATTTGAGTGGATAGGGTGGCTAGAAGGGGAGATGTGGAGGCCACAGAGAGTAAGGGGGGCCTTTTTCTTCCTAATCTTGCGTTTAAATGATAATATGAGAGTTTAAGAAAAATATGACGCTTTTTATTGTATTTTCTTTGAAATTCTGTTGTTCATATTGTCTTTGCAGGTATTTTGTTTTTTAACTTTTATAAGTCGTTAAAAAGTGTTATTTGTTAAAATGTTTTATTTATATTATGCATTATGCAGTTATTTGAAGTAAATATATAATAAATAAATAAATTGTTGTAAATTATGTATGTAATAAATGAATTGTTGTATTATCATTATTTTGGTGTTTAAATAAACTAATAAATGAATTATGTGTTTTTAATTTATCAGTACAATAAAATTTGATAATTAGGCAAAAATAAAGCAAACGAGAGCATATTTAGATCATTTATTGAATAATCTTTGATATTGGATGTGATTTATTGATGAATT